CATGGGTGTACTACGGTCAGGAGTTCTAATGTACTGTCTTCACGGTATGTTTTTAAAGCATTCTTTTAATATATTATAGGAATAAATTATTTTTAAATTTGTGCACAGTAAACTCTAATTAGTTAACCTTACTTAAAAAAAAACCTATCCATATCCTAGGTGTATATGACTTTCTTCTTTCAGAACAGTCCTACACGGATGCAGCTCCGGGCGCATGGCGTATGAGGTCGGCTTTGCGCATGCGCCGCTCAAATCAAAACAAAACAACGGTCACTTATTAGAAGTACAAAACGAGGATTTGTAAAGAAGAATGTTGGAGGATTTCGATATAAGCCAAGAGGAGACTTTTCCTTTGCTAAAGTAAGGAAACTTTGCTTCCTTTGCTCCTGTTAACAAACGTTGGTTTTCACGAGACTCACTGGCGCTTGCGCAGTGCTGAACTTATACGTCATCCGCCCGGAGCTTCTTCCGTGTACAACTGTAGGCCTTTGTTCACCCCCCGGAGCCGTGTGAGACGGGGTTTTTATGGATGGGCACTTTTTATTTAACTTCTTTTGGACTGATGCATGCAACACCCGCTGAGTGCCATGAAACAGCTTGAAAGATTAAAGACAATTTTTTATATAACTGGATTCGTCTGAAAGAAGAAAGTCATATACACCTATGATGACTTGAGGTTAAGTAATTTATGGGCTAATTGTCATTTTTGGGGGAACTAACCCTTTAAACTCATTTTAAATTAAATATAATGTATCCCAAACAAATTTATTTAAGTTGAGTTAACTAATGTAACATTTACTGCAACTTGGGATTTCTTAGTTGTATTTACTTGAACTGTGATCTGATTTACTTGTTAAAACCAGTGGCGTAGCCAGGAATTACAATGTGGGTGGGCCCAGAGAAAATTGGGTGGGTCTAGGGGTGTGCGATATGACGATTTTTGATCGTGGACGGTAAAAATGTCTCTACGATCTGCTTTTGGAGAAATATCGTAGTATCGTGCTATTCTATCAGCTGCAGTTCTGACGCGTCCGTCTCAATCTACTGTTCAACGCGAAATACATTCACATCAGTGTTAACTCAGCAGCAGAGTTACACTCCCAGACACTGCACTTATTCACAATCACAAAAGTACATTATTTGCTTTAAAGTCTTGCCGGTTAAACATTTCATATGCGTGCTGTTCTGATGCGCTTTTCCAGTGCGAATACCTGAAGCGCTCGCACAATAAAAGCCTGTCAAATAGCGCCTAATTACTGAACTAAGTTATGCATCGCATCTGATTGCGCTAATACTGTCAAAAACACTCAAGGTTTACATATAAACACAGTTGCTTATGTCTAAAGTGAAAGTAAAACATTTAGAGAAAAACGGATGCATGCCTGTATGTTAGATGCGTGCAGCTCTTAAAGGGACAGTACTAAACATGCTGCCACTTGTCATTAAAGGGATAGTTCACCCAAAAATGATAATTATGTCATTATTTACTCACATGTTGTCCCAAATCTGTAATAATTTATTTATTGTCCTAAACACAAAATACGATATTTTGAGTAACCAAACAGTACCAGGTCCCCATTGAATTTAATAATATTACATTCAACAGAAAAAAGAAACTCATTCAGGTTTAAAACAACCTGAGAGTGAGTAAATTATGGTATAAAAATAAAACACTATGACAGAATTGACAGACAGATGACATAATTTCCATTTTTGTGTGAACTATTCTTTTAATGTTAATAAAACAACAAAACACAAAGAAAAAAATCACTCACTGCTCTTGACTGAAGAACTTTAATACAGTTTATTTCATAAGAATCAATGTACAATTGATGTATATAATGTATATATAGTTTTTCACTTTTTATATTTGTTAATTCAATACTGCTAAATACACCTACTGTACCTGAAAAATAAAGTTCTGTTTGTTTTATTTCGTATTATGTTCATTTGTAATGTGTATCTTTGTTCTTATTTTTTTAATAACAAAGATAAAATAATGACAAAGATTTTCATCTTCGCTCATTTTGGCCTAAATATCTGCCATTCTTTTTTTATTTTACACGTTGTTACATTGAAAGGCTTTGTTTTAAAAAAAGGGAAATTAGTTTGGCTGTACTGCTCAGACAACTTGCAAAATAGTAAAACCAACATGACAAAGAATCGTGATAAAATCGTGAAATCGTGATATTTCTGAAAAATATGTATGTGACCCTGGACCACAAAACCAGTCTTAAGTCACTGGAGGATATTTGTAGCAATAGCCAAAAATACATTGTATGGGTCAAAATTATAGATTTTTCTTTTATGCCAAAAATCATTAGGATATTAAGTAAAGATCATGTTCCATGAAGATATTTTGTAAATTTCCTACTGTAAATATATCAAAACTTCGTTTTTGATGAGTAATATGCATTGCTAAGAACTTCATTTGGACAACTTTACAGGTGATTTTCTCAATATTTTGATTTTTTTGCACCCTCAGATTCCCGATTTTCAAATAGTTGTATATCAGCCAAATATTGTTCTATCCTAACAAACCATACATCAATGGAAAGCGTATGTATTCAGCTTTCATATGATGTATAAATCTCAATTTCGAAAATTGACACTGAAGACTGGTTTTGTGGTCCAGGGTCACATGTGATATTTTTGCCATATCGCCCACCCCTAGGTGGGCCTAGCCTAAAATACATCTGTTATCAAAATAGGCCAACACAACTAACAGTTACACCTTCTTGAATTTACATCACCATTTAATCAGAGCATAAGCCTGTATGCCATCATAAGCAGTGAAATAACGATAAGAACAGCATGAGCACGGCGGCCACACCACACACACGCGCATCTGACAGACATCTCGCATCTCCTGTGCCTCTCCTGTGTACCGTGCTACTGAGTGGTTTGTGATTGTAGCTCCGTGTAGCTTTGCTTTTCTGTTGAATCTCTATCTTACTATCACTCTCTGTTGTTTAAAGTGATACAATATAACTTAATTCCCACCATATTTCTGATATTATCTATCAAACTAATCTGATTAATTTGATCGTTCACTTTTATTCTAAAACAGCGCATGTAGTGCGCGTGCAGCGTGTTAGCATTCCTTAGCGGTTAGCTTGTCATTCGTGTTTCCATTTGCGTCTATTGCTGTTTTCTTTTTTTTTCTCGTTCCGTTTCTTTTCTCTCTCCCTCCGTTTGTTCACGAGTTCATCAAACAACAGTGGTAAGTCAGAATCATTCTTCAATCATGGTGAGTAATGGCTTTTTCTCCTGCTATTGTTGTTTGCACCGCTTGCCACATATATAGTTTAGCTCTCTCTGTCGGCCGGCAGGGATTCACATGTGATAAATGCAGGGAAATAGTTAGGCTGACAGAGAAGATTTCAGAACTAGAGACACGCATCCAAACTTTAATTGAGGATAGTGAGAATGTGAGGGCTCTAGATACGGCTTTCTACCCCACACTGACTGTACCGTGTACTGCGGCCACTCCCACCTCTTTGGGGCACTGGACCCAGAGCGCTCTGACTGGATCCAAAGAGCTAATGCTGCTTCCAGCCCTATTTCTCTTACCCCTGCTGCCTCTACCTCTAGCAACATCTCTCCTATGGACACAACGACCACGTCCACCCCCGCCGGGCAAAGGGTCGAAATGATCACTTGTTTGTGCTTTGTGAACACTCTCGCCTTGCTAAAATACATCTGTTATCAAGATAGGCCAAAACAACTAACAGTTACACCTGCTTGAATTTGCATCACCGTTTAATCAGAGCATAAGCCTGTATGTCATCATAAGCAGTGTTAAGAAAATAACGATAAGAACAGCATGAGCACGGCGGCCACACCACACACACACGCATCTGACAGACGCAACACAACACCATCATCAAATCAGCTGGACAGTAGTAATGGACAGTATGTTAAACCCATGCTTGGTCATAGTCTGGCTCAGCGGCCACCTAAACCACATGAAATAAACAACAGTGACTAGGCAACTAACGTTAGGAAAATGTAGATTTTTGTACCTGTACACTGGCGTGTAGGGGAGGTAGCCTTTAGAGAATGGAGCGCTGCTGGTGATGGAGAAATATGTGAATTAACGTTGGCACTAGCAGAGCTGTTCAGCTCCTTGAGTGTGGAATACGCAGGGACTCGAAGCCGGAGGGCGCTCTCGCGCAGAAAGCACAAAACGGAGCTCATAGAAGCAACGTGACATGCCAGGAAAACCCTAATATGGACAAAGGCATGTATAACGGCATCCAGCGATCTCTGCTGTAGCTAAGGGGCTGTTCGCAAACTTATCTTCATCATTATATGGCAAACAAAAAAAAGCAACAACACAATTTATTTTTATAGATCAAGTATTGTGATTATTGCAACAGAATTCACAATTATTGGGCTACCTTCTGAAGCAACTGACTGGGTGGGCCTGACTGACAGGTGGTTTCCCGTAGCTACACCTCTGGTTAAAACCATGCAAAACGATTGCCTTTAAAAGACCAAGTAATAGTACACATGCTAACATAACCAACAGATAGACTGCAGATACTGTTTTGTTTTTTTGTTTTTTTAATAGGGCTTTATATAGTCTTAACATTTGTAGGCCAATGCAGGCTCTTTTCAGTACAATGTTAACAAAAACATAACAGAAACCTGTTTTCAAACATAACATAACATTAAACATTTACAGATGACCCCCCATATTAAACCTTTGCAGAAATGCATAAAATAACACGTAATTGCAACATAAGTCTGAAGTAAAGCATACTGGGAACTAGAACTAGCTTGACATAATGGTACTCGCACAAATCAATTTCTCTTAATTAGGGTTTTTTGAGTAATAAAGGCATAGTATGCAAATAGTATGGATTTCTAGGTTTTTACAATTAAAAATCAACTAATTGTTGTACTTTAAAGGGGTCATATGATGCGATTTCAAGTTTTCCTTTCTCTTTGGAGTGTTACAAGCTCTTGGTGCATAAATAAGATCCCTGAAGTTGTACCAGTCGTCTCTTGTCTTGGATCTGCTCTTTTGGTTGGATTACTGGGTTTCTTCATTGTCAAGAAGAGATACAAGTGAGTCTGAAACTGACTTCTACATATATATCACTGACTAATATTAGAGAAGACATCCCTGAAAATGGTTTACACTGTAATTGTAATGAATGAAAATTAAGTAGTTTGCATTTAAAAACAAATTCTCAAAGATAAATCTAAGAGTAAAAGACGAAAATCTGACATAACAAATATGGGTTAGGGTTAGGAACATTTCTTTAAATACTCCAAAACAAAGACAAAACATCCTTCAAATGGAGGCATGAACTAACAATAAGGATTTGCAATAATCAAGGTCCAGACCTGGAGAGTTTACACCTCAAGGGGGACAGAAGGTAATTACCAGGAAAACACTGGATGAAGGCACACACTCCACAGTAAGCAAAATATCTCAAAACTCCTAAAATCTTTATTACCTCTCGATTTACTTCTCTTGGGATGAAGAGGGCAGTACCTTTTCAAAAGGAATTAAGTGTACACTTTAGGTACTAATGTGCACCCTTTAGTGATAAATAATATACAAATTTGTACCGTTTTCAAAGGTACCGCCGCAGTGACAGTTTCTGTACCTTTTTTCTGAGAGTGTAGTGAGTGTTCACAATTAGAAATCATATAAATTTTGGGCAAGTTTCGGGTGATTTTAGCATGTACAGAGAAGAGAGAGTGTGATTGCATCTTGGATGAGGATGCTAATTTTGCAAGAGAGTGTTCAAATGCTAATTTCCAGAAAAGTCATTTTTCTTCTCAGAGAGCAGCCCCCTCTGGGTCTGAGCTTGGCACCAGCCTTACAATATAATAATACAGTCCCTAATTAGAATGTTAAATGTAGCAATAAGAACACATAAGTAAACAATATAATTGAAAGTAAAAAGTCAACATAATTGTTTTTAATAAGGATGATGATCGCAAGTGTTGTTTTTTAAAATATGGAATCAATCAAGAATGTCTCCACATTTATTTTTTTTAACAGCCGCATTGCATTTATCAACCTCCATCAGTTATAAATGAAGTTAAACAAAATGAAATAAATATTAGATAAAATTGCCTTTCGTGTGTGTGTGTGTGATCACCAGGTTTTGTTCAGGTGCCAGAGAACAGAGGCAAATACCCAACAGCTTCTAATGCATTCTTCTGCAACAAACCAGGACAAAACAGATCCTCTGGTGGTAAAATACTGAATCTATGGCATGTTTTTGATAATATTCATGGTATAATCCAGTTATTTTATGACTTTAGCAGGAATTGAAGATCCATTTATTTGTATGAAAAATGGTTTGCCAAAAGTTTATGTATCAAGGAATTATTTTAGATTAATCTGCTCTTCATGCTCAGATACAATGTTATACTTTTCACACAAAATGTTTTTTTCTTGCCTGTTTCTCAATATAGATCAGCACCATCAGAAATATTATGTAAAATGTTCATTATGAATATGGTATTTACGTATGGTAAACAGCATCCATGTTGTTTTGTTGTTTTTTTTTCATATTGTTGTGACAGAAATATAAAAAATGCATTCAATTGTTTACTATTAAACTAAATAACTACAAAACCATCAGACTCAAACTCAGCAGTCTGTGTGACCTTACTGAATTCATAGCAAACGTATTTTTGCTCTAAAATTTGATGTTGTAATTTTCATGTAATAATCGTAAATTTAATGTAGTGTCCAATGCCTGTGGAATATGGAGCAAGATTGGTCTCAATAATAGTTCACACAAAAGACACGATGCACACATATTCACGAGGATACCATACCACATTAAGATTTTAGATTCATAAACTCAGTGTAAAGCATAAAACAAGGTTTTGACTGATGAGACATGTCGTAAATATAAGATTATGAAAATATAGTTTTTGGATATTTTTCAAGCAGTCTCTTATTTCAAGAACTACAACTAACGTCTCGTTTGGACTACAGCGTTGTTTTCCAGGTTTTGTGATGTCACAAAGCGACCCAATAGAATATCATTAAAATAATTCCCGCCTACGGAAATTCGAATGGTTGGGGGGTGGGGAGGGGCGACCTCTTGGTTAGAAGCTTGGTTGAGTGCATCAGACAAGACTGCGACGAATAAGTGCTGCTGTAGGTCAAGTTTTCGCAAGTTATTACACATGCACCTGAATAATTATGTAAATACATATGTTACAATTATGAAAAAGTTTTTATAATAAATTGCTGACAGTACAATACTGGACAATGATGTAATCTTTTCACTGTAATTCAGGTTATAATGTTAGAATTAAAGAACAATAAACATAATACATATGCACTTATCTGTAAATGCAGTTATTTTTTAAGCGGTTGTTGACATCCTATCTAAAACGTGATTTAGGCAAAAAAACAATAACCATACCACTCTATTATGTCTTGCAATATCCGTGCGTGCAAAGGTTCTGCGCGATCCTCTTGTTCAATATTCTAGTGAGAAAACGTGTCGGATGCAATGGACGCATCCAAAGACTAGTCTAGATATGCAGCATCTGATGGTAAATTTGTTGAAATTAATAAAATTATACATTTTTTGTAATGTAAAATAAAACTATATGTTACATATACAAAATATTATATTATTGTATAATTACCAAAGAACGTATAATGATTCAGTTTACATCACCTTCATAAATTGAATAAAAACTGAAAAAAGCAAAAACACAATGACGCACATTCTTTATTCATCATTTTGTAGATGTAAAGTTAAAAAAATCGTTGAATTTTATGGAAAAAAA